AAAATTTTATTTTAAAAATCTACTGATAAAAAAAATTTTCAATTAATGAGAAAATGTGACCCCCTAATTTTTTGGACCAGTGTATTAAAATAAAATAGAATATTAATAAAAATTGAATGTAATAATAATTTTCAATAATTGAATTTCATAACAAATGACTGTATAAAATAATAAATTTATCAAACCTGTCTAGTAAGTTCAGACGTTTGTTTATCTGTTGTAGGGATTCGTTGATTTCATTCAGTCGCTTCTCTTCGTAACTAATTCCTGAATGAATGCAACAGACGCATTTGAAAAGATCTCCCAAGAAAAATTCCAATGTACCTTTTTCATTTTTATCTTGCCTATCTCTTTTTCGTATCATAAATCCAAATAAATTGCTGATCGCTGCGGATCTCTGCTCATCTTGAGAAGTCTTTTGTCATTATAATTATAACGTGTGACATTTTCCAGGAAGTTTCCATTACATCCCATGTGCATATACGCAAAAACATATTAAGAAGGCAGTATAACATATATTATACAGAGTTTCAAAATATTATTAAAAAATTACAGATTATTCTAAATCACATTTAAAAATATATATGTGTGTCAAAAAAATTGTGTATTTGTGTTAGAAACGGTCCTGCACTTAAGTGATCCTTGTTAAAATTTTGTGTTGAAATTCTTAACATATTCGAATGTTGATTGACTCATTACTCACTTATAATTTATGTTATTTTGACACTAACAATATGAAATGTTGAATATCAATTATTTAACACAAGATATTGAAACAACATAATCATGTATACATTGCGTTAAATTAACACAAAAATTTAAGTGAACCGTTTGTTACATATGAAATGTGTTAAATTCAACACACATTTTCCAACTGTATAGTACATTTACAATTTATATAGCTATAAATAATCTGTATTAAATAAAAATTAGAGAACAGCAGACTTACGATATTCAGTTTCTTCGAATCACGTGTACCCCATGTAACATTATGTACGTTGAATACGGAAAAGATGATTAACAACATGTACATAGATGGCACAGTAATATAATAAATAACTCCGCACAATAGACAAGTTGCTTCCTGAGGGTGTAATAGACCAGCTATTGTCATTTGGCATGCAACAATGAAAAAAAGAAGACTACTGGGCGCGAGCCATCCATCTTCTGCGATTTGCAACATAATTCCTACCAGAACGATTACCATCACTAGACCATATATAGCGCTGATAATCTCGGCTACTAATAACTGCAAACCCACGCCAGAAATGTACTATCGATGTGTGTGTGTGTGTGTGTGTGTGTGTGTGTGTGTGTGTGTGTGTGTGTGTGTGTATTATAATATTGTTACATACGATATAACTGATGTTTCATTCAATAGATTAATTTAGCATAGTTGTAAAAAGTACACTAGTTATTAAAGCAAATGGTTTCAGCTACATTTTTTTACTCATTCTATATCTGAGGTAAAATTGATATAATTTTAATAGCTAAGCGGTCTCATATGCATGCACGTAAAATCCATTCATGGAAAAAAAATAAGTGAATTAAAAAGAATGAATAGAAAATCATTTTGCGAAGCTACTTATAATTTCGTTTTACTTTTCATTCATTGACCATGCATATAAAATAAATTCTTTAATTCCTTCCAAACATATCCTATAGCTCGAACCCCAGACCGAGCACATGCAAAGAATTCAAAAAGAACTCACAATCAGTCATATATATGTCATCAATTCTGAGTTCAGATGCAAAGAATTCTTTTTCAAAAAATTCTGAAAAAAAATTTTTTTTGCACTTGAAAATGAACTCAGAATTGATAACGTATGACTGAATATACAATATATTCCGTTTTGAACTTTGTATGCTATCTGAGTCAACATTTCTATTGCACATTTCTTAAAGTAAAATATACGTATAATATACTACCTGCATCCGCTCCTTGCAGGTGAAGCAAACTCCGACAAATACACCAATTGGGATTAGATTGTACCAAAAGCTGGTCCAATTGTCGATATGAAATGCGGCGACGAACGCGCCAACCAGCATCAAAAATATCGTACCTGGTCCCAGGATTGTACTTCCTTCAATAAATATAATAATATTTAATAATTTAATAAATTTTTAAAATGTTATTACTTATAGATACACATACCCATTAGAATCCACTGATAAGCAATGTACAACCATGAGATATCGTTATTCACTTTTCTCGTCTCTTTAGCTGTCATCAACAAGTCGAAAATATTTGCGACGGTGGAAGGAATCCATCTGCGCCGTTGTATATAAAAGTCTTTAAAGAGTTCTGGTGCATGTGTATACGCATCACTCGCTGCTGAATATTCGACCTGATAGAAACAAATTAATTGTAAGGTTATACTATATATGCTCTATTATATACATATATATATTCTTATACACGCGAATTTTTTTATCGCGTAGTTATCTGTTCAGATTTTGACAGTTGAATATTTTTACATGTACATACATAATACTGTTCTTTTTATTTCAACATTTACCGTATTTTTTTATTACACCTCGTATATTTAAATGCACGTATTAAATTTGAATTTTACTTAATATTAAGCTACATTAAATATTTTTCTATTAAGAAAAATAATATTTTTGAAAAATATACATGGCTTTAGTCATAATTTAAAATCTTAAATATTCAAAATTCGAAGCTCAGTGTTTTTAATATCCTGCAATTGCTTTATTGCAAGTGTAATATATATTATATTATTATGGTTGTATATTTTATATTCTAAACTTAGAACGATGACTTACCCGGGAACCCACTTGAAGAAGCAACGTACAGAGCCATCGATCCTCACCTTGGTCGTACTGAATGTAATGCCTGGCTTCGGTTGACTTGGTAGCATATTTCGCCATCACGTTGGGCTGCTTTAATGCTTTCGCTCTGAAAAGCGAAAAACAGCCAGGACTGCATAAAACACAACCGATCGTGTGTTCTGTAGATTTTTGCAGCCAATGACCAATAGCATACTCGAATTTTTGGAACCAAACCATAGGACCTATAATAACGAAAAAATAATGTAAAACATACGCTTAAAAGCCTAAAATAAAGCAGTGCAGTGTGATTTCTTTACAGTATAAAAATTTTATATATTAGAAAATCTACAGTTTCAAACTGTTTGTTTAATAATATAAATAATAAAACTTTTCTTCGTCTATTTCTCCGTTTATTGTTATAAAGATATTTTTCAAATTTCAATCACAGTTAACGATAATTATTATAACGTACAGCACATTCTCTCTTTCTGGATCGCTATCATCTTAAAGGAAATATCTAATTTTCCTTTAACAAGTACTGGAATTGATCTGTGCAGTAATGATAACTTGATGCGATGCGATGATCCGCATGATCGTACCTGATCCGACTGGATGTATTCGACCACATGCAGCACCAAGATCTTTATCTTTTTTCATCAGATCCACCAGAACTTTAACAGCTCCCGGTCGAAAGTCAATATCTCCGTCCAATGTAAGAATGTACGTGTTCTCAGAAATAATCTCTTTCCGATCCCTGTCGATCGGTAGTCCCATTAGACGATGGCCCAAAAGATAATACATATACATGACCTTAAAAAATTAAACAGGATATTTTTCGAGTGAACTTTTGAAACTTTACAATTCGAAATTTTTCACTAATAAAAGTTTAATAGTAAGTATTTATACGTATATATAATACAATATATACATTTATATACATTATACATATATAATTTATTCTCAAATTATATATGTATACATATTATATATGCACACGCGCGTATCCATTTTCATCAAATTTTTATTAGAGAAAAACTTAATGTGCATATGTATTTCTCATACTTGACTCCATCGTTTCCTGTGTCTAATTTTATTTTTATCTTTCAGATGAACTACCAAGTTAGTTTTTCCCGGCAAAGTCCACACAAGACGACCCCCGTAAGGTGTCGGATATTTAGTAGGCGGTGAAGAACGCATACATAAGTTCTCCACGTTTGTTTGGACCGTCTCCACGAGCGTAATCACATATTGATTAACTTGCGTTTCATTTTCATCATGATTGCACAAACCAACACAGCCGTGCATGCAGCAAAATGCATCGTCGAAGAAAATGTGCGCTAAAGTCAAAAACATACAACAATTAATGTTTATTCAACAAACGTATTTTATTAAATAACTTTCTTACTTAATTTATTAAGTAAATTTTTCAAAAATATGTAAATGTAACTTTGTTCTTTAATTGCGTAATAGATCTCTTTTGAAAATAGAAATAATGTGTATATAGATGTTTAATATAGATGTCTAATTGAACAAGATTGACATTTGCAGAAAGATGTTATGAATTCAGATAGCTTTTAGATAGAGAAAGAATTAATTAAGACTAAATTGCATATTACAATAATGCAACATTTTAATTTCTTTCATTTAAAGAATACTACATTTATTATAATCTTATAAAAGATGAATTTTATTAATTATAATTAATTACATACTTATGTAGTAATATTTCGATAAAAAGGAAAATTCGTAATTTGTGTAATTTAATTATTATTAAATAGTCTCTTTTAATAATCTTTTAATTACAGAGTTGACACTGTAATGTTCGCAACTTACTTTCCAATTCATAATAGTCCTCGATGTGAACTTTGTAATATTTTTGCGTGACGCGTATTGCACATTGATCCTTGTCTAATCGCAGAATACTGCCTACCAAATGATTCATCTCGCTCTTCTCTTCGTGCCACATTGTAGCGCACGCATAGATTCTCGTAACTCGATCTTTACGTTTATTAACTGCTGTATCCGGATCATCTTTGTCAAAATCTTGTTCGATCCTTCCTGCAACATTTAAGCTAACATCGGTAGCTTCGAGCCTTATGTCGCCATTCTGAAATTTCAATTAATTGCAATACTAAATGTAACTGCAATAATAAATCAACAAGATAAGATTAGTTGTTTAATTCTTTACTGAAAGTTGAGTATTTTTGCAGTTTTCCTCTTCGTGCAGATCTTGCGCGATATTTTCATTCTGCGTCTTTCTATTTAAAGCTAAACATTGGTCAATCATAAGCGAATCGTAAGTGATTGTAGAGAAGATCCTTTCTGCTAATGCTAGTCTTTCGTTTTCGGTGGTCCACAGGTGCATTGTGATCCATAATTGTGACATGAGCCATGTCAGCCAGAACCAAATGTACCACTTAGAAAGAAAGTCGCCCCAATTTCCTTGGAGGAAGAGACATTCCTTGAAGAAAAGATAGTCTGGAGTTACTTTGTAAAAAGCACAAATGTTGTTGTTCCTGGCGATGCACAATGTTACTGTCAAACACACCGCCCCTAGGCTAGCCAGATTTGTTGGAAATGCGAAACCAAACTGGTGCATATGGGTTCTGTAAGCGAATTTGCCTGAAAATGTAGAAGAGATGAAAATCGGAATCTGCACACAAAGCTCTCTAAATTATATTCAGTTCAATCCACTTGATAAATCAAAACGGAACAAATGGAAAAAAATATATATATATACATATATGTATATGTATATATATATACTTATCATCAGTCATATATGTTTGGCTGTCTCGACTTACAAGATTGATACATCGTCATGGCGCAAACAGCTTGAATCGCAAAGATATAAAGAGGTGTACGGGTTTCAAAATTCGGTAAGAAGAAGCTTCTGGCATCTATTTCTTCGCAATTGTTAACAACGAGAGCACCTGCGATAAAAATGAATATCCTCCAAATTGAAACATATCCTTGTACGACGTGTTGACCTGGTTGAAGATCTTCTTTCGCATGAAATAAGAATCGGACCAAACCTGTTTTTGATTGTTGAAAGATTAAGATAATGATTTATCTTTGACAATATCGCGCAACATCTTACATACCAGTACTATATTTAATCCAATCGTATCGCGTAAAAATTCCGATTAGCTTAGGTAATAAATGAAATTGTTTCCGTAAAAATACTTGCGATAAAATATAATTTAAGAATAGATACTTATATGATATGTAGAGATTACAAACTAAAACTCTCTCTCTTCCTCCTATATATTCTTTTTTAATATAAGGCAGCTCATTTGAAATTATCTACATTTATATGATCGGTACGTACCAATGTTGCTGTGGGACGACACAAAGTTGCTCCACCAGCGAACTGAGCACAACACGAAAGCAATGGGAGAAATCCACATCAATGTTTTATCGACATTATCTTTGACTAAATTAAGGATCAAAGGCCATAACATTCCACTGACTTGGGCGATCAATGCCAGTACATCAAAAATTTTTAGCAATCTTATTTTGCTTATCGATACATTCCGACTCTCTTTATTTCGCGAAAGTAGATCTATTATAAATATTGTTAATTAGTTAATAGGAGTTAAAAGTAACAAAGACAAGTTGTATCTATATAAAAAAATATTACAAACAAGATATGAAAGCGCAAGAAAGAGATAGAACTAAGTTTGTACATATTAGTAGAGCACCATTACAAGTTTCTATCTGATTCTTCTTTATATTTTTATATCTTGTTCATATTTTTTTATGTATATAGGTGTTACTATTTGCACCCTTATTACTTTAATCCTTATTTAATTTCCCTTATTTGTATAACAAACAAATTCTCACAGAATTGTATAAAAATAACAATCGTTTTAAATTGAAAGGACAGTAATTTTTCTAATCGTAATCTAAACGCGATAAATTAAAACAATTAAAGCAATTAATTGCTTTAAAATTAAGAAATTATGAGAAGAAAAATAATTACTGTCATTGAATTAAAACCACTATAATTAAAGATCTATCACGATCTTTAGGACTTTGTAAATTAATTACGTGCACTTACTTAACAATCCTGGTACAAAACATAGACAACAGAAAATTGCAGCGCCTTGCACCATACCGATTTTCGGTAGAATGATAAAAATTAACAACACTAAACCGATCGTGTGAAGCGTGTCTATCAGGATCATAAGCAAAATGTTTCGTTTCTTTGGCATTTTTGGTTTCCTTTTGAATAGATAGTGCCATAAGGTGTTTAACACCCCGATGCATTCCGGCACAAGAAATATGAGAATCAAACACCATGTCCATTCTATACGGCCATTTTTCTGCATGTGTTCAGTAGAAAGCTCCTCTAATTCTAAGGAATATCCCAGGAATTTTAGAGTGTAAAAGAATAAATATATCCGATACGAAAGGCTTTATTTTCTCGCCTTCTCCTTCTCCTCTCGCCGTAGAATAATAACGTACGTACGTACGTATAATTTATATACGTATGTAATAGCGAAATGTGATAGGGTTTTGATATAAATGATAATGTGATAAATAAGCGATAAGATAACTTTCAAAATGATGCGTGTATCTTTGATACTAGATATATTAAGAATTTAGATTTAAAATTTTTACAAAATGTATCATCTTTTCCGTTAATTTCAACTTGATTCAGTAAGACTTTTTTATTCTGTACCTTTTATCTTTTCAAATATACAAATGTCAATTCCCTTAGAATTAAATTTTCATTTAATTTAATCTTCTAATTAAATTGCGATTTAATATTTTATTGAAACTTTGACAGTTGCGAATTTTTTTATATACTTAAACATTTTTTGTACGTGCGCAATTTGTCTACGCAAAAAAGTTTTAACTTAAAAATTTCGAAATCTTTGCAAACTATCAAATTTGAAGAATTTCACACTTTAGAAGTGGAAATATTGAAATTCTTGAATTGTACATGTAGTAAATTAACATCTTACCTAAAGTCGTATGGTTACAAGAGGGTAACAATTGATTTTTTTGTAGTTGCGCGGTGGCCAATAGGACCGCAAATTTAGATGCGATACCGCTGCATAAAACAATAGTAAATAACAATCCATAAATGAATATCTTTAAGATCCAAATGACGATCTCGAAAAATTTGTTATTTTGCATAGATCCACTTTCTGGTGGAGGAAGACATTCGAATACGTCCCATGATAGAATGTCCTTCTGCAAACTAAAAGGCACGTGATACGACAATAAATTCAGTATTTATTTATTTTCCAGCATTTTCAGTGCATATTTGCTGTTACTATTTTATATCTTTTTCCTTCCTATTTATATCTTGTTACATTTTTATATTTTTGCAGTCTTATTCCTTCCCCTCGTCCCCGACAGTATACTTTTGTTTATTTTGCAAAAAACCATTTTAACCATTTTAGTTTCACAAAACAAGATAATATTCATTCATTACCATTTTATTTATTAATTCTTTAATTTGTTTTTTACATCACAAAATTAATACCTTTAAACAATAACTTTAAAAAACGCTATATTTTTGCACAGTACAATGATTTTATATGTAGATACGTAATCGAAACAGCTGTCTTTGTCTCAAAAAATACACATACTTTGCACCCAAACAAATACCACAACTTTTAGTAAAACAAAAATGTAAAGATAAAATCAATGCGTTTAAAATATTAAAAAGTTAAAAAAAAACTCGCAAAATGATTTGCAATATAAATAAGAATTTTTAATTTTCCTATATGCGGTTCTACAAAATATTGTAGTTTTATACTGATTGTGAGTTATATACGATCATCTCTATGTTCATTTATTCATTCTAGATTCATTATAAGTAATTGAATTCGTTCAATTTTATTTAATTATTTTTAGACTAATGTTTCAAACAATATCGAAAGACCTAATTCTCTAAAGATATACCTTTCTTCTTCAGTTTCGTCGAATTCAGAGCTGCTGCCGTCATAGTAATTGTCAAAGACACTAATCCTCGGTTCGTTTTCTCGATTTATCGACAACATATTTGCAAAGTCTCGCGACTGCTTATGATCGCGACAACCACCGAAATTGATATATTACGCCTACGGTATAATTTTTAGATGCGTCATCGATCGACAAAGCATTATCATCGGTGCCGCGCGCGATAAGGCTAGATAAGATTTATAATTGGAGCCAATTCGAAAAGTGGAGTACCGGCGTATAAGTTTACAGCATATTTAAATATGCTGTACTTAGCTATATTTATGACGCTCAGCTAAGTTGTTTAATAAGCATCGGTCTTACATAAATTTCAGGAATGAGAATGTATAATATTGCACATTTATAAACATTAATTCGAAAGAATGTTTTAGAATTGTATATATATTTTTCCATTCTTATTTAGTATTCCATATACAACATACATAAACCCATGTTTTGATATTTTATTAATTTTTATCTTTAGAAAGAACTAATAACTTTTATTATCATATACATGATATTGCAACAGAAAAATAACATTTGTATGATATGACTATATATTGAAAACCAAGTAGTAAGAAAATAGTATATCTCTAACATATACTCTATTTATTAACTTGTCACACCCATGTATATGCATTTATTTTGTAATGCCAATAACACCGCAGGCAAGACGAGCACCAGCATTGCCAGTTGTTTTTGACAGTTCGTGGCCACCCTGGCCCAAATCATCGGGATCAGCATGGACCTGAAATTGGAAGACAAATAAATATTTAATGCATATGAGACGAACATAAAAACAGTTAAGAAATACTTTAACCACATATAATATGTTAGAAAATTTTCATTCATTTTACAATCAAGTATTAATTAACCGTATGTGCATCATAATGAGCTGATAAGTTATTAGTATTTAATTTTAATATACTAAATACATACGTCTATTAAAAAATGCAAATTATATTTACATTTATAAATTCATTAGTAATGTTAGTAAAGAATAAGAATATCTCATTGGAATGATTCGTGATTTCAACAATCTAATAGTGTTCAAGTTATTATAAGTCAATTTAATTTACCACAAGAGTTCGTCCGATAATACTGTGCAGTCCGCTGAGCTGAATCATAGAATCGGTAATGTTAACTTTTGCAACGCCATCAGTACCAGCTTCCACGTTTCCTAAATCTCCAACATGGCGCACATCGTGGTTTGGACCACCGTGATCTTTACCCAATGGATTGAAATGAGCACCCGCACTCGTGCAACCTATAAAAGAAATAAAAAATTAAATTGTGCTTGATGTTTCGAGTTTATCCTTAAAAAGTTTTAATTTAGCCCACGTTTCTTTTATTTTTATTTCTTGGCTATATATATTCATTTCACATGAGATATTGACTTTTTTTTCAAAGAAAAATGCGAGTATTTTGATACTTACTGTACAGATTACTAAAATAAAATATTTATACAAATATTATTATTTGATTAAATAATAAATGATTAAAGATAATTTTCTATTGGTGTAAAAATAACACTAAAATAAAATTTTAGTAGTATATGATAAAATATTTTCATTATTCAATATTAAGTAGAAGTTTGTCATTTTGATCTTTTGATTGTGATAATTGAATACAACATATTCCAAAAATATGAAAACATGAAAAATTATAATAAATGAGAAAAATGAGAAAATTAACTTGAAATTTATTTAAAAAATTACAATTAAAAAGAAATACAAAAATACAACGAGACATCATATACATATATCTATGTCTTCTGTTTGCAGCAAGCAGTAAACAAGATATCCATATCACATATATTCTTTCTCAATTGACTCATTATCAACTTTATAAGACAAGTTTGTAAAAACTCGATACAATTCAAGCTTTTGTAAATATTCTTGAAAATTTAAGCAATTTTAAATAATGAATCAATAAAATTTTGTTGAGAAAAATTATAAAGTCAAAGATTAATAAATTATTATAAATTATGTAATGTTTGAGTTGTGTCATATAAGTAGTGTGTAGTATAACGTGCAATATCTGAATGTTCTTAAGACTTAAATCTGAACTGATCTGGACTCAACGACGTACCGTTGGTGTTGTCGCCAAATTCATGAACGTGAAAACCATGTAGGCCTTTTTGCAAGCCGGAAACCTGTCCGGTTACTTTTACTGTTTTTGAACCTTCCTGCAAATCGAGCTCTTACACTATATTAAGTACATAGTAAGAAGAAAAAGATAAGAGTAATTTTTTAAGAAATTAAACGTACATCATTTAATATAATTATTAAACGTCGCCAAACTAAATTTTCTATGAGAATAAGCTTTTTCGACAAATTATGAGAATATAAATCGCGAGATTCAAGAGATTCAGGTATTCTCATACCTATATAAAATGTAAGATGTACTTACTCTTTTTTTCTAGATGAGAAATTTTTTAAGCAGAAAAATATAGCGAGATTGATCTGATTGATCAATGACAAGTTTCACAAAATTGCCACGCTTCCGCGCGGCGAAGAGATTAGAGATTAGGAAAATTACCAATAGGATTAGAACTTACCGCTTGTTCAAAGTACACGGTCCCCTTAACAGGCTCTCCCTGAAGGACACAGACTGCCTTGATCGTCATTTCGCAAATCAGTATTTTTGTCTGCTCGAGTTTGCCCAAATGACCCGAATTGTTAACGATGTTGATCAACGGAGTGACGACGGAGTGCTGACGATAATTCACGGTTTACACGACAATTAAATAATTAAACTGCTGAATCACGAATAATCAGATCGGAAAAAACCGCTGACGTGTGATATATACGTTGGGTCGGGCACGTCGGCTGATACGCAAAACTCGGCGAATTTCAAATGATAATATGGCCGACGAATGGTTAGAAATATTAGAACGGCATACGAATGTTAATAATCACTTGGCTGCGTTCGGAAACATCACTCGATCGTCCCCCGATGGCCCCGACTCTCGTGTATCACTTTGTTTATCGTATCGAATAGAGACTGGACTTCAGAGAGAAACTTTGAAAGAGGACGTGACGTGACGACTGACGGGCGACGGCCTTTTGCCTATAACCTGTAACGGCAAATGTCCTATCCTCCTGCACTAACGCCCTCTGAAGAAATGGATGTAAACTACATAGCAAAATCCACTTCTCTGCACCGCGGGTATACCATTTGTGGTGTTTGTATGTAGTACATACATACATACATCCATACTATAAATTATCACTTTTCGAGACTGCTGCTGGGGCTTTATTCTCGAAAAATTAGGCATTCGAAAGTATATTTTCGTATTTTCGTATGCGAAATTTTTCGAGTATAAAGCCCTAACAGTTCTGAAAAATGGATTTAGCACAGACACGCACCACAAATTGTATACCCGCAGTGCAGAAAAGTGGATTTTGCTATGTAGTTTACTACACCACTTCTTCAGAGGACGTTAGTGGGACATTTTGCATTAGTTTAGTTCTCTCTCTGACCTGACGTGTATACTAGTGGCACTAGTGCTGGCAACTTGACAAGTGTTGATCAGTGCAGGATTCTCATTTCTCACTATTCTGTCTTGAAGTCTTTTCACTGTATTAATCATCGTCTGTTGATTGATGCTGATGCAAACCAGTAGATAAATTACTCGATTGTGTATCTACGTTAGCTTTTTGCGAGAATATTTCGCTACAATTCTAATTATATAATTTGTCGAATTTATCGAAGGTGTGGCATGATATACATTGTATTTTTTTATATTTTCACCACTTTTATTTGATTATATATGTGCACTATATATCTTAACATGTAGACTACACCACATACGTGACATTCTACACATTTCTATATTTCTGCATACATTTACATTATTTCAATACTTTTTTCAATACTTAGATATATATTAATATGATTAGGTTAATTAAAAATATCTCATACAATAATAATATTATATATATTTGTATGTATTTTAAATATAAATGAATAGGATTATTAAATATACGTTCAATACATGCATATTTTACTGCGTACATGCATTACAAGTATTGATAGAATGATCTGTGTATTGTCATTTTTTTACAGATGGGTGAAGATAAGCCAGTGGAATGTCCTCCAATAGGGTATTCAGTCTTATTATTATCACTTGCTAACTGAATTGTTTGCATAAAATTTAGACAAATAGTTTTTATTAAGTGTTCACAAATAGAAGCAAACTATATTAAATTATATTACATTATATTTTTTAGACTGCAGACTCAGATATTTTTGCATTTAATATGTCAACTATTATTAACAAATATAATAATTAATATTAATTGATCATGTGATGTATTTATATAGGAGATATTTAATTTTATATATAATTGATCAGTTAGCATCAATTTCATCATATTCAATATCCCAAATAATATCTGAAAAATTTTGTTGATTTTTTTTTTATAAAGAGATGAGGTGTCTAAAAAAGCCCTTAAAAAACAACAGAAGGAGATACAGAAAGCAGCGAAAAAGGCAGAAAGAAAAGCACAGTCTGTAAGCACTATTCTGTAATACATGTTTACCAACAATAAGAAAAATCAAATTTGTTTTTTTTTAATTAAACAAATGTAATTTTAAAATTTTATGTAAAATCAATTGAAATTGAAGTGCTCTATGTATATGTATAATTAGATTTAATTTGAATCGGACAATTGATAAAATCAATGAATATTGCGGTTGATATTGTTCCAGCATTCCCAGCAAGAATCTACAAATGAAACTGAAGATGTATCCATGGGAAAGTATGGACAGATGAATATGATTCAGAGTAAGGAAAAATTCGAGGACAGAAAGTTTACATCGATAAAAAATCTGAATAAAAATTTAGAGAATCAGACAGTTTGGTTGAGAGGTCGCTTACATACTAGTCGTGCAAAAGGTAAGTAATATTAATTATTATTTCATAGCTAATTGTAATTATTTGTGCAAATAAAACTTTAATTTTGTGTACATCTATATACGTGTGTATCTTTCCTTTTCTAATCTTACAGGCAAGCAATGCTTTATCGTGATAAGACAACAATCGTACACTGTACAAGGATTAGCTGCTGTGAATGAAGAAATCAGCAAACAAATGATTAAATTTATATCCAAGTAAAATTTTCAAGATCTTTATTTTAAAAAACCATCCAAATTATGGTGCTATATATACATGTATTAATGTACGGCATTCTGTCTGCCTGACTTAGCATCACAAAAGAGTCCATAATCGATGTCATGGCTGTGGTGATGCCTGTGCCTGTGAAAATTGAATCGTGTTCGCAAAAAGATGTTGAAGTCCATCTGAAAGAAATATTTGTGGTAAGTGCCGCAAAGTCGCAACTTCCTTTGCAAATTGAAGATGCCGCAAGATCTGTCGGCGAAATGGACGAGACGGTGTTGAACGTGCGAGTGAATCAGGACACCAGATTGGATAATAGAGTTTTGGATCTACGTACTCCGGCTAATCAAGCGATTTTCAAGGTGGAAGCCGGTGTTTGTAAGCTCTTTAGGGACATTCTGACAAAGAAGGTGAGTATATATGTATAATGAGACGTATGACATTTTCGTTGAAAAATTTTCCTTATATACATATATATATATATATATATATGTCCTATATACATATTTCGTTTCGTTATTCTTTTCAGGGTTTTGTTGAGATCCATACCCCCAAAATCATTTCCGCAGCCAGTGAGGGTGGAGCGAATGTGTTTACAGTATCTTATTTCAAAGGCAATGCTTACCTAGCTCAATCGCCACAATTGTATAAGCAGATGGCAATTGCTGCAGATTTTGACAAAGTTTTCACCGTGGGAGCAGGTATATCGCTCGTTAATAATAGAAATAAAAATTGTCTCTTTGAACATTATCTCGAATACGCGTTTTTCGGGTCAGATATATCTCGTGCCCTGACTCGAGATATACATAAGTATATAAAGGCGGACCACGTATTCCAAAAGCATGAATATTATATTATGGAATGTTTTTTTAGACTTTGTTTTATACATTTATCTTAACTCATCGGCATCTACCAAATAATCCCTCTATTCTTAACTTTTTCTTTTTTCTTTTATTGATTATTCCATTAGCATTTGTGCAGATGAATGTTTGAATTGTATACAATTACGTTTTCTTCTCTGCACGTGCTGTTGTAGGCAGTTACGACTAAAAGCCAAGTTGAGAGTAGAGAGAGAAAAAAAAACAATTTCTCGAGTCCTGATTCAAGTCTTCAGAGGATTTTCGATATTCTTCTCAAATATGATTTTTTTGAACAATGTTCACTGAATATATGTTGCGGTTAGTTTTCAGAGCGGAAGATTCTAATACGCACAGACATTTGACAGAATTTGTAGGCCTTGATTTGGAAATGGCCTTCAAGTACCACTATCATGAAGTGATAGACACCATCGGTCAGATGTTCACCGAGCTGTTTAAAGGATTACGTGATAAGTTAGTTATATATTTATTCTTTTTCATTTGTTCTGGAGTTTGGTATATCCCCCTTCCCCTATGAGTTTTTGCAATTTCTGATATTAATTTATTTCATGGGGATTCAACAGTTATGCGGATGATATAGCGGCAGTCAGTCAACAGTATCCGGTGGAACCTTTCAAGTTTCTCGAACCAGCTTTGAAATTGGAATATCCGCAAGCAATCGAATTATTAGCAGAAGCGGGCGTGACTCTTGGGGAAGAGGACGATTTGTCGACGCCAGATGAAAAACTCCTTGGAAAATTGGTTAAGAGTAAAGTAAGATACTGGGCAATTTAATGAAATGAAACAAAGCCTGACAAAAAAGATTAAGGCATTATAAAGACCAAACAATTTATCAACAAAATCATATCAATAAGTGTAAGAACTCTTGTGAAAAATAAAACACGCACATTTCATTAATTTATTTTTAATTTCTCGATATAATGTGATTTGTTTTGCAATATCTTAAATTTTTTTCAGTTTTCATATTACAAATGTTAAGAGATATTTTTTTGTTTTTCTCTTTTCAGTATGATACAGACTTTTACATCTTGGACAAGTATCCTCTTGCTGTAAGACCCTTCTATACTATGCCGGATCCAAATAATCCTGTAAAGTATTCTTGTATTACATGTTGCATAATCGCACATAGTGCGATTCTCCTTTTCTTAATAACTATCGATTTTGCCTTGTAGAAAGTATCCAATTCATACGACATGTTTATGCGGGGCGAGGAAATCATATCTGGCGCGCAACGTATTCACGATCCGGATTTTCTTACCGAACGCGCTAAGCATCATGGAATTGGTAAGTGGAATAAGGTTTACATGCGAATTCTTGCTTATCGCTATGAACATTTAAAATTTGGGGAGATTGATCGAAATCGCAAAACTTTTTTATATAAACTAGTTTCCATATTTAATTGCGATTTTTTATCTTTTTTATTTTCATTTTTACTACTTATCTTTGTATAATGAGAAGATTTTGTTACTTATCTACAATGATTATGCAGCGTCGCATTTCATTTTTACATTTTAACAAAAAATTGTAAAATAAAAAAATGTTTCAGATATCGAGAAAATCAAATCGTATATCGACGCCTTCAGATACGGCTGTCCACCGCATGCTGGTGGTGGTATAGGCATGGAGCGCGTAGTTATGTTGTACCTTGGCTTGGACAATATTCGCAAAGTGTCAATGTTTCCGCGTGATCCAAAACGACTCACTCCTTGAGAAGCTTAATTTTCAATGTCACTGTATATTGAGAGAACTCGAGTAAAGTCTTTCACTTTAAATACAAACGTTAAAATATCTTTTCTTTTCTTTTCTACTAATAGATCGGATAAATATGTTAAAATTTTTATGACTGGTAATTGTCGAGAAGACGATCCTTATCTTTAATTTCGATAAAAATAGGCTCATTCGACGTGTTTTTACACGAAACGAAAGAATTTGATATAAATGAGCGTCGCTCTGCTTCGCGAAGCAATATATTAATCGTTAAAGTTGACATGAGTTTTGGGTTAGAAAATCTGTCATCGACAAGACTGAAGACAAACGGCCATTCCGACGTTTTTCGCAACACCGGCAAAAGTTTTGACTTCCGTCGTACACTAGCGCCAATTGCTTCCACTTTTGAGATGGAACTACGTAATACCGTCATTTTCTTATACTGCCGATAAAAACATAGGCAAAGAGAGAATGCGAATTGGCTAGTTAGGGCTACTATATGTATAAGCAGAGACTCTCTGGTATAAGATTGTAGGCTACTATGTAGCCCTGACTCGAACCAATTCCATTCTCTCTCTGCCTATGATTTTATCGGCAGTATCAGAAAATGGCGGTATTACGTTATAGTTCCACCTCAAAAGTGGAAGCAATTGGCGCTAGTGTACGACGGAAGTCAAAACTTTTGCCGGTGTTGCGAAAAACACCAGGATGGCAGCTCTCATGGCTCATTCTGCTTCTCTCTGTTAGTGGTTTCTCTCTGCTAGTCGTGTCAATTTTGTCACGATAATTAACTCTTTATTTATAATTCTGTGGCCTGATATCGTTCATGGAATGTCATGGATGCGTTGCATTTGTGAATTTATTAAAGATGTCGATTTGATTTTTTCAAGTTTCACGCAAATGAAATCAAAGAATGAGGCAAAAAAGTTTATAAGATAATTATTGCGAATAGAGGTTATTTTTTTTGTATCATACACATGGATTTACTTGTGATATCCACTCTGAGTTGTATTTTGGACACTATTGCACCGTTTTTTATTAGATTTGTAAGTATTTTTGTAAAATGTACACTTATTTATGTTTTTACAGATAATTTAATCTTTCTTTGAATATTTTTTATTGGATATTAGACTTCATCAACAACTAGAAGCCTAATGAATCGCCTTTCATTTGCAAGTCCTTTGAAGATTCAATTTAAAATTTATGCTAAAATTGATAGCAAATTTAATAGCTGTGTTAATAGCTCATGTTTAATAGCTGTTGTATTCAATAGCACAACTTAATGTTCTGTAAAATATAGATTTCATCACATATGCTTGCGCAAAAGAGATATGATGTTGAGCTGCGAAAGGAGCTGAACAATTTGAAAGAAAATATGGCAAGGCTCTCCATGGTAGATGAATTTGCCAAATATGCCAAACTTCAACGCCGATGCAACCATGCAGAAAATACTCTTAAAGAAAACAGTGAGTTTTTTTGTCCACTAACATTTTTTTTCTTAGTCCTCAGCCTTACACTCCTACGGAATAAAAATTTAGTGTGACAAACCATTCTTATCAACAATTATTGGATCTAAGAATTTAGTTTTTACAAAAATAAGATCAATAGTTAATATAAGATGATTTTATTATTATCTGCTAGGTATATACATTTTTTTATGAAATCTCTTGATTGAATTTGTACAATCTCTTTTTTTTTTTTTAGTGAATCAACGACTGAATCAGAAACTGAAATTGCAGTTGCTGCTAATTTATAGTGTTCGTGCACTGAACGTACGTAGATTAAATGAATCTTCTGGCCTCTCATTGCAGTCACATTGAATTACAAAATTAAAAGCGAAAAATCATATAAATTTTTTTCTTAAATTCAGATAAATTTACTTTTGCATACTACTACATGAACTAAAAGAATAGTTCTTCACATTTCACTATTCTATTGATATCAATAATGGATCACAAAGAAGAATTAGAATATCTTGATGTATATTACAAGAAAGAAAACTCGAAATCATTTTTTCGTGATTTTTCCCTTCTATTATAATTCAATATGAATAACGAGGGATCTGAAGTCTTAATTTTTAGCCTTTTTGCGATTTCTATCTATATCAGGCTCTATAATGCTTTCAGGGTATGTTCATATTGTGGTTACTGTATATGTATAAAAATGAGCCAGTTATCATTCTCTCAGAGAATGTGCTATGGCCAATCCAGAATTTTTTGAGTTGGCCATGTCAGCATGAAAATGCTATTTCATTACTGGTATGGCTTGCCATCATCCGATTAGGAATATCGGCGTGTAAAACGCTTCATGTGTGATCTTTCATAAATTTTAATGTAAATAATTGATTTGTACCTTATTATGTACCAGTTCTACGATCGATAAAAAGAAATAATATTAACACTTAAATATTTTGTATTATTTAATAAAGCAGGGCTCTCTATCTTGAACTCTCGAATAATTGCGGTTTATCTATAGAAAAATGAATAAAAGAATTTACGTCGTAGCAACCAATGTCTTAATTTTACCACGGTTACAGTTACGAGTTGAAAAAAGTTATCGATTATCATACCAAAACGTGTTACGTGTTACAACCAAAACCAACTTAAGTTTGCAAAATTTAATCGCAAATCATCTTTTGTCGAGAGTGATGGGTCTAATCTTCTAATATATATTTTACGTTGACCGATATCTTGCAATAGTCTAAAATTATCGCCCAATGTTTCCTCGCCGTTTGAGAGTTTCCGAAACGTGTTCATCTATTAAAATAGATAAATAAATTTTATTACTATGTATAATATAAATATAGAATAATATATGAGTATACATAAGTTATACTTACAATTAGTAGAGACACAGTAATTGACTATATGATATTTCTTTATTAAAAATTAAAAAAAAATTATTTTTTGATAATAAAAATATATATACTCTTTTTCTTCATTTTTCGTTGGATATTTATGCGTACTCGTAATAATATGCGATTAAAGCAGATAAATGAAAGAAAAAAAACATACCTGACGGAAGGATATCGGAACTGGAATGGCGAAAATTATCCAGGTGACTACTTCGCTACAAGGTGGAGTAGTGAGAGAGCCTTTGTATGTATAAAAGATATCGGTGTTTGACGGTATCAAGGATGCTAAAGCGAGAGATATATTGACCGACAGCTCTGTATGTGCCCATTGCACATCTGGTAACTTTCTTATGAAAGGTTGAAGAAGCTCATTGTCTTCATCTTGCAACTGAAATTCAATATGTAATTAATTTTAGACACTGAACTTTGCTCGGTTTCATAAATCTTTGAAATTATCAAGTTTGTAATTTTATTTTTTTACTTGTAACTTGTTCAGAAGTTCTCAAGTATAAATTGTATATTAGAATATTATATAGAATAGATATTTTATAGAATGTATATCTCATAGAATGTATATGTATAATATACTGTTAGTTAAGGAAAATGGAGGGATAGAGAGTACAATTAAACGACGATTTCGAATGATTAGTCACCTGAAAGAAAGCAGCTACGACGACTACACCATCCTCATGCTGCAATGCATGCGAAATGTTGACATATGCCATATTGCGATGTACAATATGCATTTCCATTGGATATCTATGGATATTGATATGATTTCATATAATTTATTTTTTATTATTTATTTCGATTCGAGCAAATGTGAGATAAATATGAGATTGTTACCTTATACCATTTAATACATGTTCGGCACCTCTATTATTTTTTATGCCCCAATGAAAGTGCAATTGTTCCATTTCATATTGTTGATTTTGCTTCAATATGCCTCCGAATATATACGGCAATCTTCCCTGTATTTTTGTCGCATTTTTGTCCATAGTAAGCTTGACTTAAAAAAAATGTGCTACTCAAAAAGTTTAATAGCCCGTAAAATTATGTGTACACTTAAAAATATTTACCTGTTTGTCCATTATTCGTTAATATTTGCGGCATTGGAAGAAAATCATGATAACCGATTATTTCAAGAGCTGGAAATGGTAAAACGACCGCCTTTGATGTGGATATAGCCACTGGTGATTGTAGTTTTCCTGCGCATGATTCGTATTTCTGCGGCCACAAATGTTGTTCTAAAATAAAAACATTGTACCAGCATAAAATTTTTCTTTTAATTATTAAGGCAGCTGCTAATTATAATACAATCGATTATTATTTGAAAATGAATAATTGTAAAATTTTGTAAATTTGTAAATTTTTTGTCGATTTCTGTACTTATTGTTCGTCCTTGCATATTTCAGTTCGATCACTACTGATGAGTAATCTTCGATTTATGAATTATAATCGTCTTGACGTGTTTTTATTTAGTTTCAAATTAATCTTATCTGCCATTTAAGAAACTAGTACATAACGCTTCGCGCGCGCTGCGTATTGAATCCCATACATCTTCCAATAACATTTATACCAATTTACATTTTAATTAAACAAATTTTAACAATTTTTGATAAAAAATAAATTTTCAAAAAAAATGACACTGCGCGCGGTGCGTATTAAACTCTATACATCTTCCAATAACATTTATACCAAATTACATTTAAATTAAACAAATTTTAACAATTTTCAATAAAATGACGTTTTAATCGGCCATATTGAAACGGCCATTTTTAAATAAAACCACGATTTTTTAAAAAAATATCTTTATTTTTCTGGAAGATATGAATTTTTAAACATTGGGGAAAAGAGGCTTCAACGCAGGTAACACGGCAATTTTAAGATAGAATATTTAATAAATAAAGAAAAATGAAAGAAGAAAAAACGAATTTTTTAAATGTTTATTTTTTATTTCAAGTCGCAAAAATAAGTGGAGATTAAAACTTTGTTGTACCTCTCTTACTGTATCCAAAACCATAAACGTCATTGTACAATATAACGACGACAATAAACCATGCCGTTATAATTTGTGGGATGTGCATTTCTGAATTCTTTTTCTGTAAAGATTAGGTATATATATAATCATGTATATATGTATGTATACACACACATGGTGTCCCATTTTATATTTGACAGTCAAATATGTATTTGGAAATCGCAGAGTTTCAAATAAAGATTGTAAGATTTTGAAAGGGACATATTTTGATCAAATTGCTTTTTTTTAATGATGGAGCTAAAAAGATATGAGGTCACTTTCACTTTTTTAAATGAAACGATTGACAAAATATGTCCCCCTTAAAATCTTACAACTTTGTCTGAAACATTTTCTCTAAACTCCCGCGATTTCCAAATATTTGACTGTTAAACATAAAATGAGACACCCTGTGGGTGTGTGTGCGTGTATTTAATCATATACAGTCGGAGAACATTCTATATACATCCATATATGTATACATATATATAATATATATGTATGCATAAAATATATATAATTTCAGTTTTTAACTTTCAGTACCATTAATTTTAAAAAATTATTTTTAGACTGGTTTTTGTACAATAAACCTAATTTTTTTTTATATAAATGCATCATCTTTTTTCTGTCCAAAAATTGTCACTACTTTGCAAAATAATTACCCTTTTTTAAGGGTAATTATTTTGCAGAGTAGTGACTAGGAAACTATTTTTTTTTAATTAAAATTAAAATAGCACATTTCAAGAGTATCACCATAAATTTCTAGCAAAAATAATTGAAAATAAAAAACTTGAGATTTTTTCCGCAAAACGTGTTTTTTTGGTACTTACCTTCTTTAAGATTTTTTTTTAACATATCACTTTAACTCTTATTATTCTTAATTCTCTATAATCAGAATATATTTTGCCTATGTTTAAACTCTATTCCAGAATTTTTCCAATCCAATTAAACTGTTAGTTTTTAAATGGTAGTTTTGAAAATTGATCTGATCAACTGACAATCCAATGTGACAATCGTGATTGAAAAAAAGAGGTGTGACAACGAAAGGATAAAATATAAGTATTACATTACCTTCTTATTAAAATATTCTATATGCTCGACACTTTGACACACTGTTACGTTTTAAGGAGTGGTAAACGAATAGATAAACTGAACGGTTGTCGCGGTGTAAGATATTCAGAACGAGTGTCCCTCTGTTAAGTAATTTGCAGCATTGCATGTCATTATCAACTGCATATGTTGTAATCTTTCAAGTTACAGACGCAACTTGTAATACAAAAGTGTAGCAAGATGCTTCTTCCATTACAATATAATTGTAATAAAGTGCATTAAAGTAGGTCATTTTTTACTACATTTGTCTTTCGATGATCATAAAAATTAATAATAATAATCATAAAGAGGTAAGAATCGAGAAAATGTGTCTTAAGATTAATTATATTTATTTATATGCTTTGTTACAAAATATAAATTACAATATCCTCACGAGATAAATATCTACAATAAAATACCTGAGTCTTGCATTTATTGTAAAACTCCAAATATACATATCACAGTCAGACATTTATAATCAGAAATAATTAATAACTAAATTGCGCCAAATGTACAACACAAATTGTGAGAAATTTATACAAAAGAGGCTGTATGCACATATTATTATGTCGTAGAGAAACTTTGGCTCGAAGGTCAGTACAAAGGTAATTCAACCGCGGTTTACAATTAACATTTCTTTCAATTAGCATTTCATCATTCAGAACCGCACATTTGATATTGATAGCGAAAGTTTTGCTATTCTTGTTCTTTCTTGAAAAATTCTTAAATTCTTCAGATGATACTCTTATCGAGAAAATCATCAATTACCTACTTTCTTTATATCTCTTTTTTTATAAAACGTTTTTGCGTTTGAAGACATTGTAAAATTTACTCAAGTCTCAAATCTAACAAATCACACAGTACGCAAAAAACAATGTTAAAACATTATTAAACATCTGAATTTTGTATAAAATTGTACGGAAAAAAGAACATATCTGTTGTAAAATGCATTTAATAAATATCTTTAAAGTAAGCACCTTTTTTCTTTAAATTTAATATTTTCTTTCTAATTATGTGTGTGTATTTAGATTCGCGCGTGTTTTTCCTTTGTAGTAGCCGTTCTTAGTCTGTTGAATTTTCTACATACAAGACAAAAGTGTCGAACTAATGTAAAAAAACTCACTAGAAATTTGATTGCTTAAGCTTTCTCTGCATCATCCTGCGTTATGCGTGTGGTTATTTGCAGAGGTATCGAGAATAATTCTTCCCACGGAGGCTGAATAGAACTTATTACAGCCTCGACAGCACCAGGAGAGACAAATTCCAGTGTCCAGCTTTCTTCGAGACCCGCAATCTCGTCCAAAAAATTTAAAGTTAACCAAGTGTCACAATGTTCCTAAAAATAAAAAAAAATTATTATGTATTATAATATATTAGTAAACGTCCAAAATAAAAAGTGTAATGAATAATACATGCGTCTCAATTGCAAAACATTTTGTACAATGCACTTTTTGTTCATAAAATCTTTTTGTTCTATCTTACTATCATCGGTCGCTTGCATAAAGCGCAACTAACACATTTAACGACCATTAACCAGCCATTTCTTATAATCAATGAACAGACATTAAGTAGGAACAGAAATTACTAACTATCCCAATCAAATTGCTCATAGCTTGTTCCCTAACGGCTAAAGGCACTTGATCGCTGCCTGGTATAAGCCATTGAACATTGTCCTTTAGTATCACCAGCGCTGCACTCGTCAATATCAATCCAGACAGTTTTAGTTTGGTAGTGACATTTTGATGTTTCAAGATCGCGGAGGAAAACATTGCCAGTAATCGTACGATGTCCCCGGTTGGCTGATAGTTGGCAGTATTCGTTAGTATATTGTGCATCAAAATGCTGTAACGCTCTGGAATAGAGAATTCCACTTCGCAGCTTGCAGGCAACTGCAAATCTATCGAGACAGAAACAACACATCGTAAATATCGTAAATAGAAGAAAAGTAAGTTACCGTCAAATGTATTTGTATTTGGAGCTTTGATTCCGAGACTCTCACCGGGCGAGTCAATCAAAATCAAATCTCATCTACTACGTCAGAACACATTTTACCTGTGATATAAAATAAAAAATTTGACGTTCTTTGGAAATCTTGTAGAATACAAAGCAGGGTGATAGCGAGATGCTCTTCGCCAAGTTTTCCAGGCTGTTGTAACTCGATTAAAACACCTTGTTTGAATGGTAGCGGCACAAAAGATCTCAATCTGTCTGTTGTCCAACTGATTTCCTTGTGGAGCCAACGTTGTGGATCCTCCCTGTTACAAATTCCTTTTTCTTCATCTGTTCCTTCTTTTGCTCAGTTTTTTTCGCTGACTAATTGTAAGAATAAGAATCTTTCCCTCGAATTTAACACCAGAATAGGTAAAATCAAATTCTTTAGTTAATTTCAAGTCAACTACAGTTTAAGCGGAGTTTAAGAATTAAGTTTTGTCACAAAGTTTTGACACATAGTGACGATTAAAGTTCGAAAGACTAAAATAAAAATATTATCGATATTTTTGTTACAAAAACACGATAAAAAGTAACAATTTATTTTCTTTAAATTTTTTTATAATTTTGGAAATGCAAATTTACGCCAAAATAGCCAAAAGAGCTTACCCTTCTGGCCCATCGATCCTGAGAACATAAACTTTAGATGTAGATAATACCAAGCATCCAGAAAATATTTCTTGCATAGAATGCATCAAAATCTGTGCCTATACAAATGAGAAAGACATGAAAGAAACAAAAATCAATTCTATCAATCAATCCTGTTTAATTTGGACTTGGACTTGCCATAATGAATTACAAATTTAATAGACTGTATCTTAAGTCCAGAGAGATACCTTAAGAAGAAATACAAGCTCTTCGTTTTCATGCTCAAATACATTTAGGATGATATGTAGTTTGATTCTATGGTCTATACTGCTAAAATCAGTGTACGAATATTGCACGTTGCTGCCAAAAAAGTTTGACGCCTCTTCACCCTTTAAGGTTTTGTTGCCGATTTTGATGCTCTGTAGCAAGCCTGAAAATGACAGATTATTATTAAACACAGTAACACAATGTAATATGTTGAACAAAATTAATTATAATATAATGAACGTAATTCAAAATAAAACTGCTTCAAACATGTTGTCCATTTTATTCACGCGACTAACATATAAGTATAAGTAAACGCTTTCAATAGTGTTGAATAATTATTTATCGTTCGTTCAATAGAATTCATTTTAATTTTACCTCCCAGCATCGACGTCAAGTTTGTCATAGGAGTGAACGCCATTTCTTTTTCGCTGTCGCTGCTATGGGACTTTATGTCGATGTTCGATTTCATCATTTTATTTTCGTATGCCGTGCATATGCTGTCCGTCAGCGAGCCTGCAAATAAAATAAACTTTAATACATTTTTTACATATCAAAATGTGCCATCAAAATGAAAATTAAAACACATATTAACTATTTTCAACATGCAGTTATTAATTTTATGAGAGATTTGTAAATATATAATTTACGCAAAATAACAACTTGATTATAATACATAAAAATTCCTCATCATTATTTCTTTTACGAACAACTTGGGAAATTAATTTCATTCCCATGGAAAAAAAAAGATCTAAATACGCGAGTCATAATAAAATTGATGAAATGTAATAACCATTGACTGATTAATTATATGTAATTATTTATGAAAGCAAGAGAAATGATGGATACAAACCTGAAGAACTACTTTCTGTCAGGCCTGGCGTTATAACTGGCGTTGCATCTGGTATTGTTATTAAAGAAGGAGCGATCGCGGTACGCTTTTCCTCTGTTGAACGTTTCCGACTTGGTGTGACATTTGTCCTACATCAATGGATATCATGATTGAAATATCAATATAAGTAATAAGATTAGAGTAGATGACGCGCGAGATCACATGGATGTCTGTTTCTCTTTCGGTATAAAATTCTATTAATAAAATAATTTTATCTAACTTGTTTCTTTTAATACGCTTGTGCAATAATTAACTTGCACATATAGGATGTCATCAAGTGTAAACTACAAATCTAATTCTCACTGTAAACAATTGCAAAAAAGCAGCAGACTAACTTTAGCGTTTCATCTAAAACTTCAATGCTGCTCTGGCTTGGGTTACTGAGTATCTCTATATCACTCTCATATTTCTTCGTCGTTAGGACATTTGTAGACGGTGTTGACTCCCTCGACTCTTCTAAACTCGTCGCTGAACCTGATGACGATGATGAATGTCAATTCAGAAAAAGAAATAAGTAACATTTTATGTGATATTTTCTGAAAATTTAGAAAGAGAAGAAGAATGAAAACTAACGAAATCTTAAATCAAACGTAAAAGTTTCTTTTATAAATATATCACGGCGCGTTTACAGAAATAGAAATTGGAAATTGTAGACGTTTCTATAGCACTGAAGAGAAAAGAGTTAAAGAAATTATTATTAACAACAAAATATAAAAAGGCACAAATTTTTTTTATGTGTAAAGAGAGATTTAAACTTATCAGCCACCAAAGTTTTTCTTTCTTAAGATTGAAATTTCTTTTCAGATAAAATGACAAAAACGGAAATTATCGCTTTCAGTGGCTGAATAGTTGACGGGGAACAGAAAGAAGAAAAAGAAAAAAAAGGAGATAGAAAGAGCGGAAAGGAGGAAAAGAGGAAGAGGGATAGGGAGGGAGGGGGGAGGGAGAGAGAGAGAGAGAGAGAG